GTTTGCACCTATATCCCTGGTTCTGTGTCAATGAGGGCTTCAAACCAGTTCCCAGTGCCCATCTGACCTTGGCTGTCTACAACTCTCCCCAGCATCTTGCTGCCTGCCTCCAGCTGCCCAACTATGCCAACATGTTCCCCACCCTAGCTGAGCAGCTGCCTAGGACTCATTCAGGGCATACGTTTTTGGAGCTCCAGGATAGTGTAGAGGATGGTGATGCCATCCAGAGCCTCCCGGCCAATCTCTTCATCAGGATCCCCAATGCGAAGGAGAAGCCTTCCCAGCAGAAGACCCAGTGCTGGGAACCCCGATGACACCTGTTAGTGTGGTAATCACAGGGATTGGGTCTGTAGCTACATAACATAGGGTGAGCAGACCGGATTGGCCTTCCCTAACAACAGAGGCTTGCCTGAGGACAGTCAGCACAGCGTGTCCCCGCCCCCACCCCCCACCTCCCACTCCTGGGACACTCACGAAGAAAGGCAGGTTCACAAGCGTGTGGTTCAACACAGAGACATTGCTGTTCACAGCCCGAGCTCGCTCATGAGCTTTCCCAGAGTTCATCCAGGGCCCCAGGAGCTGTGAGGACAAGAGCGAGAGAGACTGATACCATTGGATGCCAGCCCCTGCTGGTAGGTGGGTAAGTCAGCAATCTACAAGAAGTTTCCAGAAGGGGTAAGAAGGCAATTCACCATGGTTCTCCTCCTCTTCCTGAGGCTCAAGGAAAGATGGGGTCCAGCTGAGAATGGGACTCAGAACAAAGGGAAGAAGGAGGTCAATAAAGATAGATAAAAGAGGAAGTGCCATGGGGACAGAGACAGGACTAAGGATGGAGAGAGGAAAGAGATGGGCAACAGCAGTAGCTTGTAGGGGCAGCTGTAGGGGCATGGTAGACAGAGTGAAGGGCAAAGGTCCCAGGCCTGTGATCCCAGCTACTTACAAGGCTGAGGCAAGAGGACTGAAAGCTCAAGGCCAGCGGGGGCAACTCAGTGAGAGAATATCTCAAAGTAAAAAATGGAAAGAGGGCTAGGGACATAGCCCAGTGGCAGAGTGCTTGCCTAGCAGGTGTGGGACCTTAGGTTCAGTCCTCAGTACTGAAATAAAATGAAATAAAATAAAGATGGACGGGGAGACCGAGCACTGGCCCGAGATAGCATCCTGGAGTCAAATCACTCTTCCGGGTCCACGTCCCACTGGCTCCCTGTCTGGACCTTAGACATTTTCCTGTTTCCCTTTGCCTTTCTCTCCTCCCTCTGCAGCCCCCATTCTGTGCACCTCCAAGATGCTCTTCAGTCCAACAGGAGTGGGGTCTTCAATAAACAGGGCATTCAGCAGTTTCTGCAAGGCATCCAGGGTCTGATGGTAAAGTGTCTGTGGACAGGAGGAAAACCATGCTGCTGGGGGCTCCCAGAGACGCTACCAGCCCCAGGGGTCCCCTGGGTAGGTCAGGGAGGAGGGTGCACTCAGCACCACAGTCCAAATTGCTTTATGGTACAGGCAAGGGCGGGTGGTAGGTTTGAGCTGCTCTGGGAAGACCCTTGCTTTTTTACCATCTCCCCTACTGCTGGCTGCCCAAGTTTACTCCCAGGTTGTCATTGTCCAGATTCCCTGATTCTATACACTCTGGAGCCAGTGGCCTTTGGGATTATACCACAACCACCAAGCAAGTCTTGAAACCAACTACCTCCTGGTTGTTGAGCAGCACTGCCCTCTGCTGGCAATACTTGTAACTACAAGAGGGCTGCCTGATGGTTCCACAGCAGAGATTTTGGCCCTTACTTTGTAAGGGCACCAGCAGGAGAATCCAGAGACCTGTCTCTGGTCTGCGTGATCTGACTCCCACCCATTCTCCAGCTCACTTTCCAGAGCTCCTGTCTCACTCTCTGGACTCTCTCCACACACAACCTTCTTGTCACCCTGGCAGTCAGCATGAGCTCTGCACAGGTCCTTCCCTATGCCACCCCCTTTCGAGGAATCATGACCTAATCCCTCCCTAGGCCATGCTCTTCATTCCAAGCTCTTTTCTGCAGCCTGTGCTTTTTTCTTATACCATTGATCACCCCTGTGCTTTTGCATTTATATGACTGATCTGTGATGGCATCCATCTCTCCCACCTTTGCCCTACTGCAAGGCAATCATAGGATTCTGATGTAGAGAGGGATGTGGTTAATACCTACTGAATGAAAGGGTGGCTGAACAGCTGGAATCCCTCTCCCTCAACCTCCCAGCTGGACCCTGGCCCTCTCTGCATCTTGCCCTAAAGGTCTCCTCCATTGGCACCTCCCAGAATAAATCCACAGAGACTTAAAAGATGTTTCCAGAACCCTTTAAGGTTCTATTCCCCCAGGTCTGCCCGAGTTCCATCGTCTTCTGTATGACCCAGTCCTGAGATCCATCCTCCAATCTTGGGTTCATCATTCTTCAAATAGTTACCAAGTGCCTGTTCAGGCCGACTTAAGTGAGGTGAGTTGCTCCAGGCCACACAGCCAAGGAATAAGAAAGTGACAATTTATTTGTACAAAGCCCTTTCTTTTCCTTTCGAGGTGTCCCCCCTGAGGATGTCCCCAGCCTGAGGACCCAGCTAACCTGGATAACCTCCGCTTTGGCTTCATCTTTCTCCTTCATGGCCTGCACCGAGGGCAGCAAGAACACACTCCGCACACAGGTATTCACCAGCTCTATCCTCTCTTGAACACTCATGACGGGCTGGGTGTGACTGGAGAGAAACAGGAGACAAGACATAGAGTGAGAGAGGACCCGGACATGAGAGAGGTATGAAGAGAGCAACTTGTTCAACTAGGCCACCTGAGATCAGATCCACAAGAAGACACAATGAGATGGTCCAGGGGTATATAGAGGTGACAGTCCATGGAGACTGGGAAGGGGGAGAGGGAAAGGCTTATAGTGGGGAGAGGAGTCCAGAAAAGGGGACAGAGCCTGGAAGGAGAGGGGAGCCACAGCTACCTCAGCTGGATCAGGGTCTCCATGGCCTGCCGGTGGGCAGAGCTCAAAAGGGAATCCAGCGGCTCCTCCTGGATCTGTCTCTGGACAGGGAGCACAGAGAGACAGTAAGAACCAGTAAGAGCCAGCTGTGGCTGACTCTCCGGTTCAGAGACCAGGCCATGTAGGCCCTTGGTCTGGACATAGTAACCCACTGAACAACTAGGAGAGTCAGCACACTGCCCAGCCACATCCCAAGCCTTGAGTTCAAAGCCACCCCAAGCACCTTATGTCCTGACCCATGCATCCCATGGAGGGGTGGGGGGTTAGTAAGAATAATTCCCATGGTGGCCTTCTGGTGATTGACATATTAAACCATAGACCCAGCCCAAGCAAGAAATATCATGCACGACCCTCAAAAGCCATCCAATCTAATCCCTTAAAGCTTCTTACTTTTCATCTGGCACCTAGACACCGTAGGCACTAAATTACTGTGATTTAAATGAAGGTATGAAAGACAAGGACGTTTATCTCTTTTTTATGTATATGTATATGGTTGGGTATGTATATGTAAGTGTATGTGTGTCTGTTTGTGTGTGCACAGATACATGTGCACACATATCCGGAAGCCAGAGTGTACCATTCTTCAGCAGCTGTCCATCCTGTTTTTTGAGACAAGGTCTCTCATTGGGATCTAGAGCTCATCAATTAGGCTAATCTTGCTGGCCAGAGAGCCTCAGGGACCCGGCTGTATCCACCTCCTCAGCAGTAGGATTACAAGTGTGTGCCACTTGTAATGCTTGCTTTTCATGTGGATATGGGGATCAAGCTCAGGTTCTCATTACTTTTTTTTTTATGCGTATGAGTGTCTTGCCTACATGTAGGTAAGTGCACCTGTGTTATGCAAAGCCTGCAGAGACCAGAAAAGGGCACTGAATGCCCTGGAACAGACCATTGTTAGCCATCATGTGGGTTCTGGGAATCGAACCCAGGTCCTCTGGAAGAGCAAACAGCTCTTAACCACTGAGCCATCTTTCCAGCCCCAGGTCCTCATTCTTATGTAGCAAGCACTTTACTAAGTTATGTCCCTAGCTCCTTTCTCTCTGTTTAGGGACCATGAAGCCAAACGTAATTGTGTGATCCTCCATGGTTATCAGTATCCAGTTTATCTTGATGGGTAACTGAGAAGAGACTGCTTTAGCAAAAACATATATGAGAACCCTCTGAAATTGCCCACGAGGAGGAGATCTGGGGAAAGAATGTATTAATAATAACTGTTCCCAGCTGCACAGGCTCCACAAGCAGAGACCCATTTGTGAGATGGGAAGAATGAGGCTCAGAGAAAGGAAATAAATAATAATTTATCCATACTCCTTCTGGAAAGATGGCAGCAGTCAGAAGTGGCTAGAGCCAAGACTCAAGTTCAAGCAACTGCCTCCTCATCCTGTCCTCTTCCCAACTCACCCCCACCCATCTCACCAATAAGTAGACTCAAGAATTCCACCCCAGTACCATGGTGTGGCCCGCACCATCATCTTCTTCATCATGGTCCCCTTTTCTCCTTTCATTTCCAACAGATCCTGGTTCTTCTGGAAGGTGATGATGTTGTCTACCTTGAGGGCATAGGAAAGCAGAACCAGAGTGAGAACTTCACTGAATCCTGCCCTCCTTCCAGGGAAGTGCATACAGTATCCTCTAACCCCCGAGTGCCTGTGGGCCAGCCAGGCAGCTCTTTCCTACCCACCCAGGCCTACCATTGACTCATATCTAGGTCCAGTTACCTGTTGCCATGATAAAATACCCTGACAAAAGCAACTTTGGGTAGGAAGGGTTTTTTTTGTTTTTTGCTTCTGACTTCCAGTTCCAGGCTACAGTCCAGTGTTGCAGGGAAGTCACAGGACAAGAGCTTGAGACGTGTGATTGGATTACATCCAGAGTCAAGGAACAGCGAGCCAGGAATGCAGGATTCTAGTGCTCAGGGCACTTCCTCCACTCTCATACAGCCTAGGATCTCCTGCCCAGGAAGTGGCACCACCTACAAGGAGTGGGTCTTCCTATCCCAATTAACATCATCAAGACAGTCCCCCACAGACATACACACGGGCCAACCTGGTCTAGACAATCTCTCTGAGGCTCTCTTCCTAGGTGATTCCTGATTATGTCAAGTTGACAATTAAAACTAGCCATCACAGCCCAGGACAAATAACAAGTTTCTATAAGGGGTATTTGGGTAGGGAGAGATGTAAAAACTCTTGGCGGTGGGGTGAGAAGACCAGATCTGAGGGACTGCAAAGCATTCCTCCCTCTTCAGTTAACAGAAAGAGTCCAAACACCTCAATCTGACATTCTACCATTAACAACACCTCTTTGTCTCTTAATGGATTACAGTCAGATTAAGGCATTCTGCTACCCAAGAGGGGGTGCACATTAGCCACTGTCAGTTCACTGATTCCCATCACCTTAAGGAAGAAGACAGGTAACAATGAAATTAGTAACCCATCGTACAATAAAGAAAACAAACCACCTTAATCTGATGGAGAATGTGGCAGGTTAAGACAACCACGGCTGTTTTCCACTCCTATCAGTGGATAGATTCTTCTTGAACCCTGGCTTCTCTCACAAGTTGCTTTGACCACCTGACTATTGTAGAATGTATATATGCCAGTGTGGGTCCCAGTACACACTTTTTCCTTCTGGAACCCAGATGCTGTGCTGGAAGGAAGTCCAAGCTAGACTAAGAAGATATGAAACCATGCAGAGAGGGGCCCTGGTAAGTAAGGGGCTGTCTGAGTTCCAGCCCCTCAAGTGATCTGTTTATACTGTGAAGAACAGATGAACCACCCAGTCTGAGCCCAGTAAAACTGCAGTCATGGGGAGGTAATCCCTCAAATCCTTAGTTCCCAGCAGCAGAGTAAGCCACTAAATTGTGTTGGATTGCTAATCCCAGTATAGAAAGGGAGAAGAGTGCTCATTTAGACTCAGTAGTCAGACAGTCTCAGAGGAGCGGACATTCAGGCTGAGTACTGAATGACAAGAAAGAACCAGAGGGAGGGTATGTCTCCTCAAAGTAAGATGGCAGGTCACCATTCTGTCCTTGGAGTGGGAACTAGCGCCCAGTACATTATAGGGGTTCTATGGAAAGCTTGTTGAATGAGGGCACTGACAGCCTTCCTCATGCCAGCGCTAAGATTGAGGCTGACAAGACTTCATTTCAACTTCACCTGGCCCATTCTGTGACAAAGACTGCTTCTGACTCCAGACTCACCCCACCAACTGCTCTTGTCCACACTGTGTGTGTCTGCCCTTACTGGCTTGGCCTTCTCTGCTGCATGGCCCAGACCTGAGTTGGGCCATAACATATACTCAGGAAGGCTATTTCCAGACTTTTGGTTCCTTTCCACAAGTCACTCAGTTGTCTTAGGATTTTTGTGAGGACCAACCATATGCCAAGTACTGCTCTATGTGCTGAAGGTGAAGCCATGAGACAGGCAAAAATTTCCAGTTTATGGAAGACTTGTTCTAGTTTGGGACGCTGTAGTGACTTGAATCTGAAATGTTCCCCGCAGGCTCATGTTTTGAATGCTTGATCCCCAGCTGTTGATGCTATGTTGGGAGGCTGTGGACCCTTTAAGAGGTGGTACCTCACTGTTAGAAGTCAGTCACTGGGGGATAGGTCCTTCAGGACATGTTATTTTGCTCTACTTCCTATCTCACTATCACTGCTTTCTGTCTTCTAGGAAGTGGACAGTTTCTGCCACAAGTCCCCATTGCCATAAACTGAGCCACTCTGCCATGATAGACTGAAACCCTCAAAACTGTGAGCCAAAATAAATCTCTCCTCCCTGAAATTGTTTCTGTCAGGATTTTGGTCTCAGTGAACAAAAGAAACTAATATAGAGGTAAACTAGCAACAAGAGGGGCTAGTGAGCACATGGTGTACATCACACAGCACTGAGTTCCCAGTGGGGAGAAGAGCTACAGAGGACCAGGAGAACTGGGCCTGAGGCAGAGAGGTGTCTGGGGGCAACTCAGAAAAGTGGGCTGTGGGCCAGGAGTGACATATGCCTGTCACCTCAGCACTCAGGAGGCAGGGACAGAAGTGCTGCAAACTTGAGGCTGGCCTGCTCTATACTGCAAGTTCAGGGCCAGCTAGAGCTACAGACCAAGACTGTCTGAAACAGTGGAAGGAAGGAGAGAGAAAGAAGGAGGGAGGAGGGAGGGTGGGAAAGGGAGGGAGGGAAGGAGGGAGGAAAAGGATTAGGCTAGGAGCTGAGCATACCAGAGCCGTTTTGCTGTCATCTCTCTTTTCTGCCACCTTGACCTTCACATCTTCGGAGGTTCCTGCATGTCACAGGTTCAGTGTAAGAGTAAAGGTAGATCATGATGTGCTCGGGGTGCCATAGTCCCATCTCCCCTTCCCACTGCACCCCTCCAATCCTCACTCTGTCAGTAGACTGACTAAACCTGGAAAACCAAATCAGCTCCTGTCACCTCCCCTCCCTAAAACCCCTCAGTGGAGCCCCATGTCATTGATCTTCCTTGCTGGGGCCTTCACGACACTGCCAGGTCAATGTCCATGTCTACCTCCCCAACTTTTTGCCCTCTGCTCTCTTCTCACTCCTGGCTCTGTCCACACTGGCTTCTGCCCAGTCTCAGCAAGGTTCTGGTCAGGGCCTTGGCATGAGCGTCTTCCTCCACCCTGGTCACTGCTCCCTGCCATCGCTCCTAGGGCTCCCTTCTTCAGGTCTCTTCTTGCCTGACACTCCTCAGAGGCCTCTCTTGGCCTCCTGGCTAAGAAAGAGTACACCGTGTCCCCCAGTACAGTTTCTGTTCTCTTTTTTCAGGAGTTACCCCATTGATAGACACTTGTCATAGTGTCTGCTCTTTCCTCAGCCCAAGTCTCTCACCTTGCTTTGGGTGAAAGAATCCCTGTCCTTCCTATAGGTTCCTATTCCATACTTCTAAGTGAAGCCCCACCCATTCTCCTTTTCAAAGAAGGGTGGATCTGCTACCTGAACTTGACCACTAAGAGTATCCCATACCCCCAGTCACAGTGACTGGTCCAGTGATGGGTACTTAGCTAAGAAGGGCCAATTAAGGCCTCCTGTTTAAGGGAACGCTGAAGGAAGAGCAGACCTTTACCCTCCTGAGGTCAAGGTCACTAAAGCCTGTGAAAGCCGAGACAAGAGCATCTTGGCTAAACTGCCAGAGACTGCTGGAGAGCTGAGCCAAAGGGGAAAAGAGCATAGCTGACACTAAATGCCGACCTCTGAACACTGTTCTCCGCCAAACCAAGGCTCCTGGGAGAAATGGCAAGTTCCAAGGAAGCCCAGAGTGACGCTGGGACACCTGGCCCCAGAAAACAAGGAAGAGCACTCAGAGGAGAGCGCAATATGTCAGAGAAACGTAAGCGCCTCCCTGAAGGGTGTTCTGCTGGTCAAACTAAGGAAAAATTATCAACATGACTAATGATAGTAACCAGTTTATAGCTCCTTGAATAAACTAGAAAATGACACAAATAAATGCATGAAATAAGTTGAAAGGTCGGAGGACTGGGATATTTACATACTGTCAAAGTGCCTACAAGAGAGAAACTGGCTTCCCAGTGGAGAACCTCGGCATCTTATCACGTGATGGGATGAACATTGTTCATGAACAAATCAAAACCCCAATCTCTCTCTCTCTCTCTCTCTCTCTCTCTCTCTCTCTCTCTCTCCATGCGTGTGTGTATGTGTGTGTGTGTGTGTGTGTGTGTGTGTGTGTGTGTGTGTGTGAACAGCAGAATCACTAGGGAAGCACCAGACCTCCCTCTTCATCACACTGCATGGTTAGTGACAGGTCTCTGTCCCTCACAACTGGGGTTTTATCACCCCACCCTCACAGACACCAAGGAGACAGAACTAAGAGTCTGCCGAGCACATCGTTGTTACAGCTTGTGGCTGCTGAGCCCTCCCTCTTCCCCCTCCTGGCTCATTGACAGTCTCTGCTCACGTGGGCTCTGGCTTACAGAGGATGAACAGCCACCCCTGGTCCAAATGTAGACCAGACTGGCCTCAATCTCACAGAGATTCACCTGCCTCTGCCTCCCGAGTGCTGGGACTAAAGGTGTGTGCCTCCTTGTAGCCAGCTGGGGCTACAGGGAGACCCTGTCTCAAAAAGTCCAAAAAAAAAGTCTAAAAAGAAAAAGAAAATACACTCAATATCAGATAGCATTCCACATCCTACAAGTTAGCTACTCCTGAGGAAGAAGGAAAACAAAAGCCACATGTAACTCATACCTACCAGGAGAGCCCAGTCACTGACCTAGGCATCTCCCTATATTTCTGTCTCCATCTTACCTCTTTTCCCTCTCTCTGAGCTCTCCTTGGTATTTGTTTCTGCCGATTACCAGACCATGGCCAACCCAAGCAGGTCTGGCTTACCTCCACAGATTCCAGCCTCCCAACCCTAACCTCTGTTTCTCGTCCCTCTGTAACACTGAGACCACTGAGAGCACCCAGACGACAGGACCAGGCCAGCAGACCTCCATTTTCCCCATGGGGCTGCCCTGGGAAGAAAGTCCCTTTCTTACCTTCCTCGCTGCTCACCTCTCTGATAGACTTTCTGGGAAGAGTTGTCTTGCCTAGTTCATTGGGACTTCTTGGAGCCAGGCTTTTGCCCTAATTCTGGTAATAGCAGCATTATTTAAAATAGCCAACAGAGGGCCAGTGAGATAGCTCAGTCAGTAAAGATATTTGCTGCCAAACCCGAAGATCTCAGTTGGATCCTGAGGATCCTCATGGGAGAGAGAGAGAGAACTGATGCCAGCAAGTTGTCCTCTGACCTCCACATATCCACTGTGGTACATATATATATATATATATACACACACACATAAATAAGTAAATAAATAAATAAATGATGGGTGGGTGGATGGATGGATGGATGGATAGATAGGTGTAATTTTAAATTTTTTTTTTGATGGATGGATGGATGGGTAAGTGAGTAGGTGAGTAGATGGATAGGTGGATAGGGTGGATGGATAGAGAGAATTCATGGTGAACTCACAGAGCTCTGCCTGCCTCTACCTCCCTAGTGCTGGGACTAAAAGCATGTGCCACCACGCCCAGCTCTTATTTATTATTTTTATTTTAAGTGTATGAGTGTATTGCCTGCATGTAAGTGCACCTGTGTTGTGCAATGCCCTCGGAGGTCAGAAGAAGGCATCAGATTCCCCTAGAACTAGAATTACAGACAGTTGTCAGCTACCATATGGGTCCTGGTCCTCTGCAAGAGCAGTCAGTGCTCTTAACCACTGAGCCATCTCTCCAGTCTCAATTTTAAAAATTAACATAGCCACCAGAAGGCTAGAGAAATGATTCAGTGGTTAAGAGCTCCAGCTGGTCAAGAAGGTGATCTG